TATATTAGCAGGTAACATTTTAGTCACATTTAGTCTCTATGTAATGATCCTGGTTGTGAAAAAAGTTTGATGAAACCTGCATTTGAGTCTAAGTGGTTTTAAGGTTGCTTCCACTAATATTGTTTCCAGAAAATGCAGTGAAATTAAACTGCCAAGCAATGATTAAGATTCATTAAGGCATCAAGTATGGACACAAATGAGACTTTCCAACTATTGCCCATAGATTCCTCACCCATTTGCACTACTCAGGTGACCCTGAGGTCACAGACAAACCTCCATGTGGCCTCAATGACTCTCTAAAAGGAATGCAAATAGCCAGCTGTCTGCAAGGAATATAAATCCTTCCATTCCCCAACCATCCAGTCAGAGCTGAAGAAACTTCTTGGATGAGAAGCCAGTTTGCTGTAGCAGTTAAGGCTTGAAACCAGGAGTCTGTGAGTTCTAGTCCCATTTTACGGACAAAGCCAGCAGGGCGACTGGGCCAATCATTATCTCTCAGTTCTAAGAAGGAGGCAATTGCAAATCACTTCCAAAAAACCTGACCAACAAAACTGCAGGAATTTGTCCTGACAGCCACCAGGAGTCCAAAACTTGAAGAAAGGAATAGGAAAGGGGAAGGGAAAGAAAAAGGGGAAAGTGGAAAGGGAAGGGGAGGAAAAGACAGGACCCTAAAGTAGCATTTTTCAGTGTGAATGCAATGCAATAACTCTCAGTAAAAGAAATCTGTATGATTTTGCTGAGAATTCACCTTAGTCTTTCACAATTTCTTTTCTTCTGTATAAGACCACACTTGCTGAGCACATCTAATAATTTACCTAAGTGACATGTCAAACATGAACAAATTTAAACAAGAAAATAATATTCTGTCACTTTGAGAAATTAAATTCAAGTGAAATATGGTGGGTAAATCAAATCACAATACTGCCTTTAAATTGCTCATTGGTGCTTAAGAAAATACAATTTAACTTTGCAAAAACAGCTTTTTATCTTGCCAATTTTTGTTTCAGTAGGCAAACATTTATTTGTTACATTGTCCTCTCCTAACCAAATAATGCACATGCTTATTTTGCTTCCTTCATTAATTTGTGCTTTTGCATTAGAGAAAATTACCCCACGCATGGTAATCAAGAAGCAAGTATTAAAACATTGAACGTCTTTTAAATATCCACATCAACTTTAATTTATAAATACAAAATAGGCAAAAATTACAATGGCACAACATCATTTTTATTAAGAACAGAATTGCTTATACAGACTAGATCTATATAAATAAAATCACCATACATTTTCATTGTATTTATAAGAACATTACACTTTTTATAAAATTAAGAAATGTAATTTTCATCCCTCAAATTGTTACAGCAAATGAATCATGCATTACTTTTACTGAACAAAGAGAAATAAAGTCCACAAAGTTGACACAGCCCTGACAAGGATGTAACTTTATGCTCCAAAATTAGACATTAAACATAGATGTACAAAGACTACTAACAGAACAGCAAAGATCAAAGTATAATACAATGTCAGTATGTCGTAAAAGCAAAGTCATATTAAAAATAACAGGACCTCTGCTTATGTACCTTTGGAGACAGATAGTAAATAAAAATGAAGGATGAGTATCCAGCATGCAACTGAATAAAACATTCCAGTTTGATAATGAGTGTATACAGTGGACTATTTATGAGAAGTGCAGATGCCCGACTATGTGCTTGCAATCATCTGATAAACTGTTTGAGCTCTCCTTCCATCCAAATTCTCCAGAGGGTTCTGATCAAAGCTTGCTGAGCAGTACAATTATTATTATTTGCAGCGTGATAAAAGAATCACCAGCTTCTCAAATGGCTACAAACACAATGGGGACCTATTTCCATATGATAAATGGTCACCTGTAATCACTCTGTTTTGATCAAAGGAAAAACAGGAAAACACTTGGAAAGAAACACAAGAATCCAAATGTTACACACTCCATCTTCTTGGACACCCTGAACTGTAACAAGTTAGTTAGCTCATTTAGATGTTGAGGTGATCATCCATGTTGTTATCCTTTCCGAATGGGGGTCCTGTTATAATGTTTTTATTTTATACAATTTTATTTCAGGGTGACTTAGGCTCTTGGAAAGAATTTGCAGTACAGGGATGTACTTTCACTCACTGTTCCTTGCCCAACCCATTGCATTAGAAGCCATCTCTTAATGCTGCGCTTGAACATAATGATGTGCATAGTTGCATTTATATCAGTTAGCCACAGGTTATTAACTTTTCAGAGAATGATGTTGGTTTCCACATTGATGAATAATGTTTAATGACATTGGGAATCAAAGTGAAATAGATCTTAGGGACCTCCTCTCTTATGTTAACGCATTTAAAAAATAATAATAGGACAAGATACCTTGTAAAAATGGACTTTATAGTATAATTATTTTTCCATTACAATTTCCTTCAGACGTCTTTATTTGTTCATAGGTTCACTGAGCAGAGGTGGCACAGTGGTTAAATGCAGCACTGCAGGCTACTTCAGCTGACTGCAGTTCTGCAGTTCGGCTGTTCAAATCTCACCGGCTCAAGGTTGNGGGAATGGAAGGATTTATATTCTTTGTAGACAGAAAGAATGCAAATGACTAGCTTGTCTGCAAGGAATATAAATCCTTCCATTTCCCACTATCCAGTCAGAGCTAAAGAAACTTCTTGGATGAAAAGCAAAATATCTTCAAAGAGAAACAAGAAAGTCCAGTTGCCTCTTGAAAAAATCCACTATATGTAAAATCATTTGACCCTGATTTCATCTTTTGAAACCAGTGGAAGTTTCTTAGATCTATAAACACATTCTAGTCGCAAAATATTAGAAGTTTCCAACTTTTATCATTTAAATTGAAGTCTGTGACCTTCTCAGTGACTCTTTCAATGAAACAGAGGTTTGTGGTTTAATTAAATTGAAAATGGCAAACGCTTCTATATATAGTCTCTAGATTATAGATCACTATGTTAAAAGGGCAAATCAGGAGAAAGACAGAGACCAAAGAGATTCTAAATGTTTCCTGAAATTCTATTTTTTCTTCACTAAGCTATGGACAAAATAGTTTGACATGCATTTCTTGCATAACATGAAGTAAGAAGCCAAACACAGCTATAATTAATATTTTACAAGTTGCTTGATCATCTTATTTTTGCATTCTTGGGAAGATGAAAAAATAAACAGATAAATACCTTATTAGAGATTTTTTAGTAGATGGACATTGCATTTAGTTTGATGGAGCTACAATATTCATATAATTGATTAGCTGCACTCAGTGCACTGGTTCACTATGCTGGAGTATTGGATGGCTAACCAAGATAGGAGACCTGGTTTCTACTTTGCTTCTGTGGCCATAGAATAGGATTGATAAACCTCTAGTGCTGGACTATAGGGCCTATATCCCTCACTATTGGCCATGTTAAAAGAGCATATAGAAATCTGTTTTAAAATTTCCATAGGGTCATGTTACTTTCCCCTGAGAGGGAACAATGTCCATTGTTCTACCACAGCTTACCTTGCTGTGAAATGGGAAGGAGAAACTTCAGGTCTGTTGGCTGGATATGGTCAAAACCGTTATAAGTTGATAAGGTGATGAAAGCTTTGTTTCTTTTGTGCAATGCACATGAAAATGGGCAACGTTTATGTCAACCCACTCTGGCCATCTTAATATTATGACAATACCCATAGACACTTCTGAGAAACCTATACCGTACAGTGCAATAAATTTACAGACATTTCTGAATTTCTGTCTTCACTTTGTCATTATGGGAGTACTGAGTGTAGATTAATGAAAGAAAAAGAATTTGAACAACCACAGAATCAGGCTGCAGCATAACACAATTGTCAAAAGTGAAGGGGGTCTGAACATTTTCTGCATGCATTACATGTGCAATTTCAGATTAGAAAAAAATGTCATTTTGTTTCTGAATTTTCTCAAAAAAGCATAACCTTACACCATGTTAACAAGAGGACAAGGAATTTCCACCTGGAGTGCTTTGTCATCTGTAGCCTTGAAAGCCTCTCCCATTTTTTCCCTGTCAGTCTTTTTTTAAATTTTTATTTATTTATAAACATGCAAAACACACACACACAAAACTTAGACGCACACAACATTTACACAATACGATATGAACAAGAACTTCCTGTTCATTCTAATAGCAATTGCCAATCAATATCGTTCTCCTTATATTATTTCCCCTTCTAGTATATTTGATTTGCATTTCACCATTCTTAACCCTCTTATTTTACTCATCTGTCTGCTATGTTGGCTGATCCCGCCTTATAAATTTAAATCTCTTGGATGCATATATATGTGTTCATTCTCATTAACTACTTTTTTTGGGCTTTATTGGCTTCCTTCCTTCATTTATTTATTTATTTATTAGACACAT